GGTCTAAATTCAGAACTGAAGTTTCCGCTTCTACACGTGCCCTCAGGAAGATTGCCATGAGGGTCTCTAGTTGGGGCAGCATTTTTTTTTGAGCTTGTGTTGCTGATCACACTGATCCACCACTTGAGAGTGTTTTCTTGATCACTGATTGGGGGTTTCTCTCTTGCCAGCCCCTATCTAGTGCTTGTGTCGCTGATCTTATTGATGGGCTGTCTTAGAGAGTCTTATATTGATCGTTGATTGGGGTTTTCAGTCCTGCTATTTGATTAATTGGTGTTTCTTTTGAATTTTCTGATTTAAGATCGGTTTGCTTGGTTCACCGCATGTTTGTCATTTTTGTGTGCTTCTATTCTACTCCAACCTTTATGTTCGACTGCAATCGGCAACCTCACCACCTGATGATTACCTATACCATGGGTACCTCCATCGCCCCAAGAGTATGGCTGCGACTACAACCGAGTCTGGAACCAGGCGTAGTTGGCTTTCTGGTGAACCAAGGCGAAGTGACGGGAACAGGTCCTGTTCACACATCAGGTGAAGATAACTGTCAATTTGGACCGAGAGCGATACACCAATCCTAACAAAATTCGAACCCTACAACCCGAGCATCATGATTTCTTTGGTTATTAATCAGGGGCGGATCTATCATCGGGTCCGCCGACCCTGACAACTTTTAGTTAATCCTCTATATATTAGGTTCTTGTTCAATCATAATTTCCAATAAAACATCATATCACAGTAGCTTTTTTCATGCTGATCCTAGTGCCTAATCTGGCTAGATTCGCCCCTGTTATTAATTGTGTCACAATCCGTACCATGCACAGCCCAACGAACCAAAAGACATGTCATAGCAGTCTGGCAGATTATTCTAGACATGGACTTGTTTCGACGATTGCAACTTCAATGGAATTCTGATGTGAGACCAGCGCCATTAGAAATGTTATCTTCTTAACTTTCCATGCATAGGTAAAACGTCGAAAACAGAGTCCATATGCGTTATGGGCGATGTTTTTAGCGTGAAAGTCCGTATTTTATGATCCTCTTCAATGTTCCTAAGCATAATAATATCATTATGTAGCAATTTATTTTTATAACTATGAGAAGTTGCTTGCCTCCATTCCAAACGGTACATGACACTAACAGAGGAACTTGGTTTCCTTGAAATTAATGTGAAAAATCTTGTATTCCAAATGGAACCTAAAGTTTCCATGAGAAAGCTACTGTAGTATCATGGTACATTAGAAAAGGTACTTTCATAATCACAATTCACAAATCACAACGACGAGTATATAAATACACGTTGGCATGCCAAATGGTCATGCCACACCACAGACACAAAAATAGTATATAAATACACGTTGGCATGCCAAATGGTCATGCCACACCACAGACACAAAAATCTTACAAGTCCACATTCCACACCGGTGCTTCCTTTTTTTCTTTTCCTTTTCCTCATGTGCCTGAAAGTATTGTTGGCCGATTTATTGTGAGAGAAAAATACTATTCGTTGACTAAAAAAGTACGATTTATAAGCCAAGCGAACAGGACGTTAGCCCTTAGGTCAGTGCCACGTCGCTCTTTCCGTCGAGGACGAACCTCTTCCAGTACCAGTGTTTCACCCAAACGGTGCCCATGTTCTCGAGCGGGATGCCCTTGGTCTCCGGCAGGAACAGCGCAATGAAGACTGTCATGACGGCGACCCAGCCGGCGTAGAAGGCGAAGGTGGCGTACTTGAAGCGGCAGAGCATGGCGAGGAACGACTGCGTCTGCACGAAGGTGAGGCAGAGGCCGATGGAGACGTTCATGGCCTGCCCCGCCGACCGGATGTCCACCGGGAATATTTCGCTCGGGATCACCCACCCCAGCGGCCCCCATGACCACCCGAACCCGGCGGTGTGCAGGCAGGTGAGCACCAGCACCGCCACACCGTATGGATGCGCCATTGCCGCCTCGCCGCCCTTGCCGATTTTCGCCCCCATGATCCAAGCAATCGCAACCTTCGTCGTCGTTCGAGAACCCAAGAGTTAGTTAGTTAGATACGAAAACACAAGAAACAACACACATTGATGATCCTCCAGTCATCCACGTAAAACATCACATACCTGGCAGATGACCATCTGTATGCCGCCGACCATGAAGAGCACCTTCCGCCCGTAGCGGTCGATGACGAGGGTGGAGAGCACGAGTGACCCCAGGTTGACCGCGCCGAGTATGACGGCGCCCATCAGCGCGGCGTTGCTGCCGAAGCCGACGGTCCGGAACACGAGCGGCGCGAAGAAAGCGAGCACGATGACGCCCGTGAGCTGGAAGAACATGGGCACGGCGACGGCGAGGACCAGGTGCGGGCGGTACTCGCGCCTGGTGGCCATCCGGCGGAACGCGCCGTCCTCGCTCTGGCGCGCGGCCTCCACGGCCTTGTCGATGTCCCTGAGCTCGGCGTCCACGTCGGCGTCGGCGCCGCGCACCCGGAGCAGCGCCGCCCGGGCCTGGTCGTTCCGGCCGCGCATGACGAGGCTGCTGGGCGTGTCGGTGAGGAAGAGCGCGCCGACGAAGATGACGACGGCCGGCGCGCCCGCCAGCCCCAGCGAGACGCGCCACCCCCAGGAGACGTGCGCCGTGGCGTAGTTGACGAGGTTGGCGGTGAGCACCCCGAGCGCCAGGAAGAACTGGTAGCCCGCCGTGAGGGAGCCCCGCCACCGCGACGGGGCCATCTCGGCCAGGAACAGAGGCGCGGCCTGCAGTGTGGTTTGGCCAATTTAAAGTTTTGTTAAACAGGCTCTGTTGGGCTTTTGAATACTCGCTATTAAAAGGACATCGCTCCACATTTGGGCTGTTTCGTGTCCTCTTAATTTTTTTTTGTGAGATATCGTGTCCTCTTAAGTATGAGGCCTCTTCAGATTACGGGCCGGAGAGCTGGAACGAACCGCGCCTACACATGACTGCTACCGAGCCCAAAAGAAAAAAAGAAGTTATTTTTTTTACCATTTTTGCCCCTTCGATTATGACTCATTGACTTTGCTCAAAAAACAAAAAAAGATTATGACTCATTGACATATTGACATGCCCGACCATCTGAGCCAGCCAATGACACGAGTCCTGACAAGCTGACTTTTGAACTGGCAACATGCCAACATCCCATTGTTAATTGTTTGGCGTTGGCGATCTCGTGGTCGAGCACAGCAAGCCACCAAGGCGGAGACCCGGCTCCAGGTCGCGTGCCACGGTGGGGATTGAAAAACGGCGTACGGACCCAATAGTCCAAGCACGCTACAGTAGATTGTCCACAAGGGAACCCAACGAACTGTCGTTCATCTCCCAAGTCACTGAATCTCGCGGCTGTCACACTCACAGCTGATCAGCCACACCTTCCATGGCACCAATCGTCTCTATCCGATCCCACTACGACAGAGTACGGTTAGGTAATCAACTAGTGGCGGCTATGTACTGGGCCTGTTCGGTAGGACTGAAAAATACTGTTTCGATTGATTGTTGTGAGAGAAAAATACTGTTCTGACAGAACATGAATAGTGATTTTATAAGGTGGCTGGCGGCAATTAGCCAGCCAGCCAGCCGAACACGGCCATTACCTGCCATATCGATCATCTCTACTCGAGTACCGACGTACCGGATAGGACAGTTCTAGCTTTGGACTAAAAAAAGTCAACAAAGATACCTTGTTACAGCGGATCCCACATGCCTGCGTCATCAATCGCGACTATCCAATATAAAGCTATGATTGCGTTTTTATCTGGACGGAGTAAGCAGCAATGGTCCAAAAATATCTCGGTGATCTTTAATTCTATGATCTGTTTATTTAGTACGAAATCTGTCCATGACCTCACTGTCCGGGAACTAATTAGTTGTTTAGTACGTAGTACTCCGTAATAGCTATGTATATAAGTGAAAAAGTCTACCGCGAGGTCCAATGACTCGGGTGAAAAACGGCCAAGTCAAGTCCGTGTCGTCAGCCGGAGACTTTGGACGGTTCGCTCTCTGGCGTGCGTGACGCATTGCCGGATGGTGCGGGAGGCGGACTACTGAAACTGACCTGGTTGGTGAAGCCGACGCCGAAGCCGAGCAGCATGCGTCCGACGATGAGCATGGCGATGTTGACGGCGCCACCGGTGACGGCGCCGCCGGCGAAGAAGAGGGCGCCGCCCATGAGCATAACGGCCTGCCGGCCCATGGCCCTGGTCACGCGGCTGGCTACGAGCGACGAGAACAGCCCGGCCACGTACAGCGACGACGTGAAGGCCGTCAGCGTCTGGCTATCGTAGAGGCAGTACTCGTTCCCCTTGGCCGACGCCGCCATCCGCTCCAGGACGCGCGGGAAGAAGCGCCGCAGGAACGGCTCCATCTCGGAGACGCCGCCTTGCATTGATGATCGAATCAACAGGGTCAGCTATAGTAGTCATCACCGTGTTTCAGCGCAGGAACAGACGAACGGGCTAGGCGTCCTGAGACGTTCAGAGTTCAGAGCAAGCTACCAGCTACAGAATTTGTTGTTTTGAATGTAGGATTTTCTGCTGAGTTAACTCAACAGCTGTCCGGGAACTAAGGCCATGTTTGGTTTCTACAGACGTTCCTAAAATTCATGTCATATCGAATGTTTAGACACGTGCATGGAGTATTAAATATAGATTAATTATAAAACTAATTACACAATTTGCGACTAATTTGCAAGACAAATCTTTTAAGCCTAATTAATCTATGATTTGACCACGTGGTGCTACAGTAAACATGTGTTAATGACAGATTAATTAAGCTTAAAAAATCGTCTCATAAATTAGCCTCTATCTATGTAATTGGTTTTATAATTAATCCATATTTAATGCTCTTTATTAGTATCTAAATATTCAATGTAACATAAATTTTAGGAGCGACTGGAGAACAAAATCTCCTGATACGAGCAGGCAAGCAAAGTTGGAGCATGCATCGTTGTGCATGAGATGGAGCTACTAAAGCACTGAGCACAAGAAGCGGCAGTAGCACGCACGCACCTGAGATGCCGATGTCGTAGCCGAAGATGAGGCCGCCCGAGGCAGCCACGAGGCAGGTCATGAACACCGAGAGCGTCAGGCCTCCGCCGTAGTCCGCGGCAGGGCCATCGCTCGGAACAATGACACCTCCGGCCATCTCTCTTGCCTATTCGTCCCCTGCCGCGAGAGAACAGAGAACCCTGTCCAATTCCTCTTCGCTTTGCTTCGGAGATGAAAGAGGCATATAGATATAGGGCTTCTCCTCAGCTTTAAACTGCTATCATATATAGAGCACAAATTGAAGAAGTCCAACTAGTAATATCGAAACGGCGAGACCACGTTTATTGGTGCGAGCAATATGTTGACACTGACTGGCATGGCGTTAACTCAAATCATGCCATGTGCAAGAGCGCAAGTCAGCACTGAAGATATTATATCTATGACTCCATCTCTATATATAATCACTACTCTCTGCATGCCTTATCTTATCCCTATCTCTATCTCTCTGCTTCTACTATTGCTTCTATACTATGGTATTGGTGTAACGATTTTCTCTCTTTTTGAACAAGATCATAGAAAACTTTTTCACCTTAGGTCTTGTTTGATGTCAATGTATCAACCTCAATCCATATGTGTGGGGGTGGACTGATGTGGAATTTACTTTTAAATTCCACACCAATCCACTCCAACACATGATTTGAGGTGAATTATCAAAAACCCCTTAGTCCGCGGCAGGGCCATTGCTCGCTCCTCTCCTCCCCTGCCGAGAACCCTGTCCAATTCCTCTTCGCCTTGGCATTAAACTATCGTATACATCACAAACTAAAGAAGGCCTATACTAGTTAAATATTTAGTTGACTAATACTCCATATTTCACAACTAATATTAGCTAGATATTGTTTTTATCCAATAAGTTAAAGGCTGGGCACTTATGTTTTTGTCTATAACACCCTTTCCTCTTTTAGAGGCTATTAGAAAGGCATATGCATAGAGGTAGATGGTAGACAAAACTATCTTGAGTTGGTGAATCCAAATGAGATAATTGCTACTTTTGCCCAGCTAACGGTATCTAGGTCTATTTGAATTCACCTCGGCTATTTTTTAATAGCTACTCCCTCCGTTCCAAATTATAAATCATTTTAACTTTCTTAGAGAATCAAAGAATATTAAGCTTAACCAAAATTACAGAAAGAAATATCAAAATTTATGACACCGAATAGGTACACTATAAAAATATAATTAATGAACAATATAATGATATTTATTTGGTACCATAAATATTATTATTTTATTGTATAAATTTGGTCAAATTAAATATGCTTTGACTCTTCAAGAATATTGAAATGACTTATAATTTGGGACGGAGGGAATAACTAATAGATGGGTGGATCTAAACATCCTCTTGGCTAATTTTTAATAGCTAACTATTATCCCCATCCTAAATTATAAGTCATTCTAACTTTTTGGAGAGTCAAAGAATCTCAAGCTTGACCAAATTTATATATAATAAAATAATAATATTTATGATATTAAATAAGTATCATTAGATTCTTCATTAATTATATTTTCATAGTAATTTTATCTATAATTTTGGTTAGATGCTTTGACTCTCCAAAAAGTTGTAATTACTTGTAATTTGAAATTGAGGGAGTAGACGTGTGGATCTAAAACACTCCCTTAATGCGTGCAAGCAATACGTTAACGTTGACTTACGTTAAGTCATGTGCAAGCCAGGCAGTTCGCACTGGAGATATTATTGTTAGCAAACGTTGGGTTAAGAAAAGAAGACTACGCTGTCCAATCCGTCGTCTGGGCAATCAATCAGTGCATGATGGTTGTTAAGCTAACAAAGCCCATGTGCCGATGTGCGTAACATAGATCATCATCACTGTCAAAGACTGCTGATCGATCCGAACTGTTTTCGTCGTGCCATATAGGTCATAGGTGCAAACATCCAGTGGCAATACCTCAACATTGCAACTATTAGCATGACTGGAAGCAAACACTGAAACACTTATGCCGGTGTCACGTCCAGACCGAGCCCATGGACTCGACCGGGTCTTGGCATCCGGCGGGAAGAGCAAACATACCGATCCAACAGCACCGCACGACGGTCGACGGCATATCAGACAAATGTACGGTTCATTCACAAATGCACGGTCGACGGCATATTATCAGACAAACATACCGATCCAGTAGCTATGCTGAGGCTGGTAAGTATTTTATCTGAGGATATTCGGCTACTCCGTAGTTATGACATGTACGGTTCGTTCACAAATCACCTACATATCAGACAATCGTCTTAATCTAAAAAAAATCAGACAATCATGATGCTTATTGCAGTAGCAATGCTTCACAGCTTAAGATACATGAGTGAACGGCAGTCATGTACGCTAGGATGGACATATGACCAGGGAAAGGCCGCAGGATTATTGATTCAACATGGTGGAGGTACTTATGTGTTCCAGAATTCGTCATCGTGCTTGCAAAGATGATACTTCCAGGCGTGAGCTGCAAGACGAGATTCGGTTCAAATTTCAAGACCAGAAAGACACCTATACTCCCATGAATAACCCATCAAAGGATTCACTATCAATTTGCAGATGTAATGCTTAATTCCAGGCCAAAATATGGCATACTGATGGTAAGAAACAAATTTGGCAGTTTCTGCTGATCAAACTGTTGATAGTAAAAAGACTGGAATCGATGCTAACCCAAAATCATGAACTAGACTTGGTGAGAATAGGTAAATTACTAACAAGAAATGTGTTACGGACTCAGCAAGGTACCAAGTTATATTATGGTTTTCAAACCATAGTTATGGTCATCTAACAGCTCTAGTTGAATTTAGTCTTGTCTTAACCAGTCCAAATTACTCGAAAAATGCAAGTTCCAGGTTAAGATTGCCATTCTTCAGAAGTTAATAAATGATAAATGAAACAGTATTGGGTGTATTCAGTGTCGCGTGACTAGTGTAGTACTGCTCAATAAGTAAAATCTGCCAAGGAGGAAACAAGTTGTCACCTTTTTTTCAAACGCAAACAAGTTATCACCTTCTAGCCAAAAGCATAAGGGTCGTCAGCATATGGATTCAAGGAACCCTCAGAGAATAATTCACCGAGGTTTGCAGGATGTGCACGGGATCCTGTAGGAACCTGCAGGATGCAGCACATCATAACTGTCAGTGTTGCAAAAACACACAATGTATAGGAAATAATCATGTCTTGATTAGTTGCCCTTAAAAACTTTCTAATTCAACTCCGTTACATGATGAAACACAACACAGCAGAGGTTACTTTGGTTCGATTCAGATGCATTTACTCCATCAGCAACCATAGGCAAAGTAGGAAAACAAGTAGAATTTAATGGTAAATAAAAAACAAAAAAAAACAGTATGGAAGGAAGCTCGTCAAAATACAGTCTCCTTTGGAAGTATCATGCTTACCACATCTTGAGAAATTGTTAGCTATGTGGTATGATGTCAACTATGAATGTGCTTATGTCACAAACTTTAATAGAAATAGCAATTATAGGAAATTACAAACAACATATGGACCATAGATTAGAAAAAAAATAAAGTTCAAAAAGGATTTCTAAATTTGATTAGAACTCAACAATTGTACATAAAACATTGATCTAACAGAACATAATAAGGTTCACTGAAAAATATTTTTTGTGGATTCTTTTATGTATGAATGTGAATAGAAAATAAGAAAATAGTCACCCTGCAGAACCATCATACCTTTTTTATTTTTGTAACATCTTTGTCAGCAGTATTATGCAAAGACTTCTGAGTGTTCGGTTCCTAAAAAATATGATAGAAAACATGGATGAAACAGATAGCTAGTAAAATGCATAGAAAATGTAAAGAATGCAGTAAAAGTTCATACACCAAACATGACAGTGCTCCTAGTTTTCCTGCGCTTTGTGATTCTTCCATTTGCTGTCTCAACTTCATATTCATGGTGTGTTACCTATTTTAACTAAAGAAGTGAGAAACCCCACAGGATAATATGAAATTCACAAATTATTGCATTCAGGAAAACATAATCTGACCTATGCTAGCTCAAGCTACAAAAAATAAAGAAATCGCTGAAGTAGTCACCTTTCTATGTTTAGGAATGTTCTGAGACACTTTGTCTACCTTTCTCAACATGTTCGAAATTGGTGATTCTAAAATCCCAGGTAAGTTTACATCCTGAAACGTAGCAAAAAAAGACTTGATTCCAACTTTCTCAAATAAGTGTATTTGCACAGCCTACCACTGAAAATAATGGCATCTTACCTTCCGTTTGGTCTCCAGACTTGCCAACTGGACCTCATGTTCTTTTCTTCCATATGGATCTCTCTCTTAATCGACGAAACAGAGTATTCCTGAAAAATCTATGCACTTCGTAAGGACTGAGTAACATGTACGAGGCATCATGACGAGCTAAATTAGAAAGGAGAATCAACTGAAGTCTCACTTAAACAGGGAAAAAACAAGATAGGAATTTGGACCAGCCTTGTGTTTCCAACATGTTGAAACTTCATATGCATTTTTCTAACAATTTTCAAAAAGCACTTCGCCAAAATCTAGATGGAAAACTACCTTGCGATTTAGCATATTTCCTTAACTATCCTCCTTAGTAATTAAGATAGAAGAACCAAAATGTTTTCTATTTCATTGATTCGTCTAAGAAATTAGTAATACCATTTAGAGAGAATTATGATCAAGATGACAAATATGAAACACAGCTACTAGTACTCCAGAAAATAGGATATACATGCATTGAATGAAGATTTTGTTCAGATATTTGCAAGCAACAAAAAGTATAAGTAGGATTACAATCAAATGAAAATCACAATGTGCCAAAGCAACCCAGTGCAGAACAGGAGGGCTTGAAACCTACACTTTGTCCATAGTCCATGCATACAAAATAAATCAAAGCATATAATGAATTCAAACAAGACAAACTGACAAAAGTGCACAACAAACCATGCTGCAGTATGTCCATGTAAGATTTAATTTCAGAAATGAAACTAATGTTATATTTAATTTCTGTTTGAATTAATGATTGCACGGCCAAATTGAAAATTAAAATAACATATTCTTTCATTAGTAGTGCTACTGGACCATATGTGCATTCCAAACATGATACTACTTTAACAATTATGGATGCTTTACACTTGCTTTTCCAAACAACATGAACTAAAAAGCGTCGAAGGGTGTAAAACAGCTATTGCAATCCAATCAGAATAAGGCCCAAATAATTGCATATGAAATAACAGGCCACAAAGGTGTAGAGCCATAGTAGTGTAATACCATTAAGTTATTTTGTCAATTTGATTCTCTCGGTAGGGGCAGAACACTATGTTAGAAATGCGGAACCTAGAAAAAAATATTTTCTGATTAATGTAGAACCTACAAAAAACTATTTGCACAAGGTATCCATTCCGTGAGACAATTGACCTTACTTAGTGAGAACATATTGACTTCATAATTATGTTCAAGGCTTAGCATGCTATGCAATCAATATACTAAAACAAACATTGAATGCATGTGACATGTACATCACTTAGTTATGAACGTATCCAAACTTGGTGAGTAGACAGAACCGTCTTAGAGTTCACTTCTTGATCAACTTGTTGACTTTCTTCCATTACTTTCCACTGTAATTGTAACAACGCTCTTTGCTTCTCCTCCTGCACCATAGAATGCTTTAAGTATTTACTAAAGTGGCTATCTTCAAAAGTCAAAACGACGAAAATACCAATCAGGCAATCACCACTTGGACTTCTGAAGCTCCAGTTCCTCCTGCATCCTCTGGCATTCTTCCTCATGACGCATCCTTAGTGATTTTATTTGAAGTTCATGCTCTTTTCTGAGCAATGACAGCCTCTGCATATTTATACAGATTCAATCAGTCTGGAAAACTTCCATGATCAAAGCTTGTTGCAGAATTTGTTACTGACCTCCCTCAATTCATTCTCAGCCTGAGACTGAATGCGCTGCAGTTCTTCTTTGTGACGAGCCTGGAGAATTGACTCTTTATGCTCATTATCCTGATGAATTCTCGCCACTTGAATATCAGCAAATCAACCTTCATGGTCATTTCAGGGGGGAAATACACACTTTTAATCAAACTAGCTACTGTGTAGCATTTAATTATATCCTATTTTTGACTCCATGTAAAAAACAGTTAAATAATACTTCTTAAAAAAATATTAGTATTTCACTAGTTATGCAATGTAGGTCCATAAGTTATAGCAATAACAGTTTGAAAGCCTAAAATTTTACAGGAACATAATTTTAAAATGGTTTATTGGATATCATGCTGTGGAATATCATATCTAAGCTGCTGCGGAACCAAACGGAAACCAAAGTGCTATTGGAGCCTCAAATTTTGTCAGCAGTATGCTATGAGCTGTGTGCCAGATGAATATAATGTAAATCACTAAACCCATCTTCAGTGCTTACCCTAAAGTACCTAGAAATAATCTTTAAACTAATTGACCTTAGTGTCGAGTTCATAAACCCGGGGTCCCTCGGGGACCAGCTTCCACGCCAGGGCTCGGCCCAAGAAAACAGCATGTAGTTCATGGGCTGGCCCAAGAGTCTAAAACACGACGGGCCGGAAGGACAGCCCGGTCGCCGACCGGAAGGTCTGTCCGAAAGAACAAACGCCCGCTCGTCAAACTTCTTCGGCCCACCTCTCCGACCGGAGCACTCGCTTCGGACACCAGCCGTCTCTGGACGGTCTCTCCGATCGGAAGGCCTGGCCCAAAACGCTGCTTCCTACTCCGACCCCGCGTCTCCGACCGGGGACCCCGTAGGAAGCCTGCTTACCGCTCTTCTCCGACTGGCACGGCCAGGGCCGACTAGAGCCATCCGACCGGGGACGCCCGCTCGGAAGGGACCAGGGGCGAACGGAGAAGGCAGCGCACAAGTCAAACCACGATACCAGGGACCATACCCTGTACGCCTGCGGGAACAGTGCTCCACAACCACCCTGACACAAACAGTATTGTAGGCGCCGACATTTGTGTCTACAGTATTTTAGGCGTCGTTGGACTCCCGTACGGCAAAAAGCTCCCCACATGCCTCTGGGCATCGATAGTACTATGGGTGCCAGGATTCACCATACCTGGTACACATGGTAGGGCTCCTCACATACCAAATCGAGGCACATGTAGCGGTGACCGGAGTCCCAGCACTGACAACCCGAGACCACCGGCCTTTGCCCAACACCCCCAGCAAGCGCCGTTCTCACCGTGCTTCAATGGAGGCCACGACAGAGGTAAGGCCAAGCGCCAGGATCAGGACGAGGGCCCCTCCACGCAGAGGGAAAAAAGAACAGAAAGGATCGCCGCCGATCGGCCAACTCCGCGTCGGTCGCCGCGGCCGATCACTTGGGCACATAGCCCCAGCAGGACCGATCGGGACACTTCCACGAGCTCATGGAGAGCCCGTGCACCAACTACAACTATCCCGTCAACCATCTCTACAAGGACTGCCAGCTCCTCAAGCGCCTGCTAAGGTAGACTGGCAGGCCAAGGAAAGAAAAAGGCGAGGAAGCAGCAACAGAAGAAGGGGGCACAGCAGGCAAGGATCCAGACGACTGAAGGCTGAAGTGATCCGATCGGACGCCTACCGACTGAAAGACAATGACAACGACGTTCTCTCTAAACGCTTGGAACAGCTATGTTGTTTTTTCCTTTCCCTAAGTTTCAGTTTTACCATTGTTTACTTAGCGAACGCTCCTGTAAGAGCACCCCGATCCGAACACTTTTTGGCTCGGGGCGCTCGGGGGCTCCACTAGGAGGCACTATTACCCCTCTATTTTTGTCTTTTACTTTCATATGAAGAAACTCCTTCCTACCTGAAACGAAAGAGCAGATCGTTCCTTTAATTTCCCTTACGTAGCTTTGCTGTAAAACATCCTGACTGATCGCACCCCGCCCTTTCCTACGGTTACGAGCGGCACAACGATCGGAGCCGAGGCGACGTTCCCCCCCTGAACCAGGCTCCGTGCTATTCGTAGGCTCGGAAGCATCGTCCTCACGCATGCTTCGGGCCATGTCCTCACGACGAACATCCATCACCCGCTCGGCGGAGACTTGCTCTGACACCGACCGCGCGTGCGGCAGCAAGCTCTCCCCGATCGCTTGGATGTCCCCCATGCTCAGGCCTTCAGCATACCTGCCGCAGATAGTGGCAAAGTCCAGATTCGGGTGGTACGTCGCCACCGAGGTCAGCACCCCCGACGCTCCATAAAACAGCCCACTCATGACAAGGTCCTTGACCACGTCCGGGACCTCCGCCAGCAAGACTGTGGGCGAGCTGGTACTTGGCGCCGACCCGAAGACTTCTGAGACGACGAGCTGGGCAGCGTTGCGGATCTGGCCAAGCTCCCCTTCGAGAGCACGTCGCTCTTCATGGGACTTGGCCAGCTCCTCGGCATTCCGGCTAAAGTTCGCCTTGGTCACCTCCAGGTCTCGCTCCAGCGCCTTCACCTTTTCACCCAGCTCTGGAAGAAGGGCGACAAGCTCAGAAACAGGCTGAGGAAAAAAATAACACCACGAGAAAACAAAAAAAGGTACGCACCGATGCGAGAGGCCTCAAGGATAGAGAGATCATCTGCCTACCGAGCCACCTGCTCGCACAGCCTCGGAGCGCGAGCACCTCCTGATCCGCCTCTGACCGGGCTCTCTGCTCCGCCCCCAGGGCCTTCTGTGCCAACTCCAGGGCGGCCCGCTCCGGCTCAAGGGCCGCCAAGGCCTCTTGAAGCGTTGCCTCGGTATTCGCCAGGGAAGTCCGTAGCCCCGCCTTAGTCTCCTCCTGGCGGACCTTCGCTGCCTCGAGCCCTTGCTCGGCAGCAGTCGCCCGCTCCGCCGCACGCTACCCCTCCGCCCACGCCGCGGCCGCCCGGACCTGGGACTCGCGGCAAGCGGACTCCACCCGACGCTCAAGCTCGGCCATCCGGGCGTGTTCCGCCCGGAGTAAGTAAGACTTGCGGGACGACACCTTCCTTATTTCCTATGAAAAACAGGCATGCTAAAAACAATCGATGAAAGATTCAAAGGGCAAGGATAAGTACTAGAAACTCACCTCCGCGGTGAGCTGCAGGTCGACCTCAACCAGCTGCCGAGCAAACTGAGCCTGCTTCCGGGCGCTCTCAAGCTTCGTGGACAGCTTGGTGAGTTCGGACACCGCGGCATGCCCTTGCCCCCCAAAAATGTCCCAGAGTTGGCGCTCCTGGGAATCCCGGAGGACGAACCTCGCCTTCGACGGGTCCTCAGGGAAGGGCCACTCTAGGTCACCCTCCGACGAACCGTCGGAGGGCCCAGCCTCCAACTGGACCACCGCCAGCTCCCGCGGCGACACCGGCAGCTCCGCCACGGTATCTGCCTCGTCGTCAGACGGGATCTCCACCACCTCATTTGCGTGGAACGCCGCCGGGCGTCCCAACTCCGTCCAGGCCACACTTCCCTCCGGCGCCTTCGGCTCTGACGACAAGGACAGGTTGTGCAGCCCTCCACCCGGCGAGGTAGGGAGCTCACCCTCCCTCGCCTCTTCCACCGCGAACAGTGGAGGAGTAGCCGCGAGAGTTACCTCCGACGCAACCCCCGCCATCGGCACCGGGATTGCCGCCAACGTCGCTGCCGCTGTCATATTATCAGCAGCCGCCCTGGGGGGCACCACCCTCGGGAGGGAAGGCTTCGCCGCCGCCACCCTGCTGCCCCCTTCGCTCGCCGCAACAAGCTGTAGAGTGGGCCTCCAAACCTCCTGCACGGGGGTCGGGGCGATGCTCAACCCCGGCATCCCCCGACCGCTAACAAAAATTGCGGGTAAGCCACACTCCAAAAAAGACTCGACCAACCAAAATCGAAAAAAGCAACAAAAGGAAACATACCGGGTGGCGAGCGGCACGACTCGGAAGGCAGACTCTGATGACCACGGACCTATGGGACGAGGACCGCTCCCAGGCTACGACCCGTGCCCCCTCACTTTAGACGTGGTCGGAGCCGTCCTGATCGGCTCCTGCCCGGCCTGCGGGTCGCTACGACCTTCGGCTCAGGACTCCCCAACCGGAGCAATAGGCGGGGCGTCCTCCGACTACAAGTCTCCTATCGACCGAGCGCCAGTCTGCCCCTCAGACCACCCGGGCTGCTCAACCGTACCCACGGTAGGTGGGGCCTCCTCCGACTGCAAGTTCGGTGTTGGCACTGGCCCCGTCGCCGCACGAGCGCCAGTCCGCTCCTCGGACCGCCCGGCTCGCTCAGCCACGTCCACCACAGGCGACGACGGGACCGGCGACACCGCCGAGGGGCGCGGTGACCGCGTTCGCTTCGCCGTCCGTCCACCGACGGTGTCCGCGCTCACCGCATGCCGCGCGGCCTCTTGCTCCTCACCAGCGGACGTCGCCGTAGGGTCGCGACGCATCGCCGAGGTCACAATGACCTCCCAACTCTCCTCCTCGTCGGAGAAGACCATGTCGTCCAAATCCATAGGATCATCCGACGTGAGTTCCGACTCGACGTCGCTCCCATGTTCCCCGGCCCTCATGCGTCGGGCGACCTCCTTCTTCTCTTCCTTCCGCTAAACCTCCTTAGTTCTTTTCTTCTTCCGGGCGTCTACCGCCTCCTTCTGGGCGGCCTGCCGGGCCTGGCCCTCCGGTCCCTTAGGAAGGTGCGGCCGGGATTTGTACCTCCCGAGCCCCTATGGAACGATTGAACCAAAATCAAAGAAATGAGAAAAAAGCAGAGAAAGAGCATGAACAAAATAAGGAGCATACTAGTGTGGGCACGATCGAGGCATTGAACGGTATGGGTTTTCCCAC